CGTCCGCCATTTTGGATTCGCCATTTTGAATTTTGAAAAAGTAATGTAAGTAATGTAAGTTATGTAAAGTTTCATGAACTTCAGAGTATCAGCCTTAACTTTGTGAAAAGATTGTCAATAAAGAAATGAACAAGAACATGAAAATAAGTAAAATTTAAAAATAAGATTTATACAACTATTAATTCCTCTACAATTTTCACATAACTAATTATGAGATAATACTTTTGCAATTTAATAAAATACAAATTATTATTTATATTTCATTTGTAAAGATTTCCTGAAATCTCCATAGACCACTTTTAGGGAAATGTTTCTAAAGGGGATGAAAAATAAGAAAACTATAAACCTTAAACTTCTTTTAATGCTTCGATTTAGTCATTGATATTAACACTTTCTATCATTGCATTCTGAAGTACTTTTTTGTGTTTTTTAAATCTTTCAATTTGTTAGCAAATTTTAATTTTAGCCTTTCTATATTTTCGTGCATTTCTTTATTTTGTTTGATTTATAAAAGTACTTCTTTGTACAAAGAAGGAGCGTTTCGAACCGCATGTAACAGTTTTTTATAACCGAGATACTTTTGATACCCCTAATGCATTTACTGAATTGTAAATTATTCTTTGAGCAATTAGACTGATTAACTTTTGGTTCAGTTTTAGGAATAACAGTTAAAATATCGTAAAATAACTGAAGTGAGATTATATTATTTCTTAACAATTCCATAAAATAAAAAAAATTTTATGACCTGGATGTTTTTTCTTCTAACCGTGAGACACTCTGTTCAGCTGACAATTTTCAGTATTTATGTGATGATGTGTAGGGGAGAATGGGGCAAGACGGGGTACCGGCCTTATTTAACAAACGAATTAACCAATCGCGATTATATTTTACATAATATTGCACCGAGACGATAGTTTCTTGTTTACAAAACCTAAAAGCCATGAGAACAAATCTTTTATCTGTTTTACTAAAAAAACTGTTTTCGATGATTTTCTTGTCATTTTTTTACTTTTTTAGGAGGCGTTTATTATTTAATAATAACAGTTAATGAACTGTATAAATTTTTTTCTAACTGTCAAGGGTTACAGAAGAAGAAAAGCATACGTTTTTTTTCTTTGTTGAATCGTAAATTGTAGTAATTAATCGTTTTATTAAATTTCGTAGGTGGGGGCAAGATGGGGTAGGGGAGAGTGGGGCAAGACGGGGTTCACAAATTAAGCAAAAAAAAGAGAAATAAGAGAAGTTAAGAAAACTACTAAAATCAAGACTAAATAAAATAAAAGTGGCCAAAAAGAAAAAAGTTTGTCAGGTTAAATCATCAATTAGCGATGGTAAAATGGAAAATACACCTTGTCTCTATTGTAATGGTTATTATTTAGACTCAAATGAAGGCTGGGCTGCTTTTTTTTGTCTGCGGCCAATGGGCTCACTGCAGTTATGCATGAAGATGAAGATGCAACTTTTACTTGTAAAATTTGTCGACAGAAATAGGTTGTTTTTTGTTAGTACCCCATCTTGCCCCTACAGGTACCCCATCTTACCCGCTGGTGGGGCAAGATGGGGAGATTTGCAATTTTTTCAATATTATTAATTATAAGCTTTTTTAAGAAACAGATGGCCTTTGTACGCCTTTTTTACGAAAGACTGATTCCCAAAGATGATAATTAAAAATATAATAATAAAGTATATATTCGATAATTTTCGTTTTTTTTTTTGCGCTTTAAACCTTAAGTACCCCGTCTTGCCCCACTCTCCCATATAATTTTTTTTAAATAAATGAGTAAAAATTTTTATTCTGTTAATCATAAAATTAAAGCAGATATAAAGTTTGTCTAAAATTTAGGAATTTAGAATCTGTCTCAATTACAAGCTTTGATAAATATAAGATATAAGACTTTTAATAAATTAAAAAGGAACTATATTGACATCTGAGAAATTTTGAGAAATTTCAACCACCTTGTAGCACTTACCAAAGCATAAATATATAATATATATTATACACTACTGTCAGAAATTATCAGCATGACAATTTTAAATGGCAGCCTATAACAATCTAGAATGTGGAAATTAAATTGATTAAAATCCTGTGAGGAATGGCCCCTGTCATTTGGGATTTTTTGAATTTAAACAATAAAAAGCAATACAATTTTTGCAATACGCATTTGAACTGTTAAAATCAAATTGATTAAATTACAAAGGCTGTTAATTTCCAACGACGCAGTGTATATATTCTTTTTATAACTGAATATCGTATCATTTTTAAATTTAACTTTGTAGTCTATTTATACTATGTACAAAATTTTTTCTCACTGTTACTGGACAATGATTCTGCGTAGTCAGAATTGTCTGACTCGTCTTATCAAATCGCACCTCTTTCACTCAGCAATATAAGATTAAATTTACAATAGATGAGACCTCTCATTTGTGCATTTTTCTAAGGATCTGTGAACCAATGTTATATCTCCACAATACTTTAACAATTTGTTGAAATATTAATCAAGGTTAACTTTATTAACTTTATAATATATACCACAAAACATTCTCATTTAAGATCATGAAATAATTAAAACTTTGTAAAAATGTTTTTCATATTGATATATTTTTTACGACTTTAATTTTAAGTAAAAATTATTTTTTTCAACAGACAATAATGTAAATTTTAAGTTGGAACTATTTTTCTATTGGATTTTGTTAAAATGTGAAAAAAATCTTTAACTCGAATGTTTCTATAAAAAAAATCTTAAATCTCGTCTTAAATCAAGCAAAACCTTTTCAAAGCATATTCTAAAAATCTATAAATGTTTAGCCCTTAAGATTTTAAGACAACTTTATCCATTCACAATTAATTTAAAAAAATATAATAATGGTGTTCTTAGTTGTTTTATATTACTCTCTTCTATTATATCTAAATCTTGAGAGCTTTATATTTTTAATAAGTTAAGTCGATGTTGCTCCAATCTATAGTTGTATTTTTTGTCTTTTATTGATTACTAAAATAAAGTATTCGGGATCATAATTATTGTACAGTGTACAATATTTATATAGAATAAGGGTTCATACACATCACACGCTTCAAAATTAAAGTATTTTTTCATGATCCTTATAGATTATATTGATGTAGATCTTTTTTTAGTTCAACAAAAGCGCTCTTTAATTATAAAAAAAATTTAATTTATTACAAAAAATTATTTATTTAAAATTTTAAAATACTTTTCAGCCTTGCTATGGTTACCCAAAAAGAAATCGTTAATTAATTTGACATCTATTTTTACTATTTATAATCAATGATCAAATTTTTTCAAAAATTTGACGATTTTTTTAAGCGCTAATTCATTGTAATAATTAGTATTATTATATTTTATTAAATTAATTTACTTGTATATTAGGTATACAATGTGATTAAAAATTTTTCTTGTCATATTCGTTTAGTTTTCATTCTTAATTGATCTCAAATTATAAAAATATTTTCTGTTTTGCTAAGTTAAAATAGTCTAGAGACTTTAGAAATCCAGTTCAAGTAGGAACGCCATTTTTGTATTTTTACAGCTTCTGTAAAATTCACGAGACGCCAACTGGAAACCTATACCGCCGAAGTAGTTAAACAAAGTTGCTCGAAAAATAAGGAATTTTTTGATAGGTTCATGGTTAAAAGAAGGTAAAAATTAATATTTTTACAGAATTCTAATTTTGGTGATTCCATATACCTATATATGGACCGATGAAAGCGCTCAAATAACATCGGAAAAAAATATATAGAGAGCGGCTTAGATCTTTCTAAAATTTGTAAACAGTTATGAGATATTTTACTTTTGAAATAAAAAATCGATTTTTCTAAGTCGACAAAGTTATATGAACCCTTAATTAAAGTTTTTTTTTGATAGCCAGGAACCGCCACTGAATTAAAGCAAAATTTAAAAACACTTTTGTTGCGGATATAGGAATATCTGAATAAAAAGTCAATTTTGCTTAGTTTTGATTCAAATTACTGAATCGTGAATTGACATGAATTGTCAATGGAGTTGATACAAGCTTGTGAATTCAGACGAATTGAAAGTTAAAACAAATTAATGAAAGTGTTATATTGAATTTGCACTCACATATTAGAACAGAAATTAAAACTTGTTAAGCTTGTTAATAAAATTTGTGCGAAAGTTTTATTAAAACATTTGAAAATGAAAAATATAGAGATGTTCCAGAATCTATTAAGCCCATGATTATAATTTTTTGTTTTCCACAATTCATTGATGAGATTTCATCAATGAATTGTGGATATTTATTGATATTTATTGATCGATATTTATTGCAGGTTGAAAAATTAAGTTTCAGGCACTTTGAGAGGTTTCATCTGTTCAATATAAACGTTTTCTTAATCTATTTAAAATTATACAGAAACCTCGATTTACTGTCAACATTAATTGCATAATCAGTGAATAGGAATAGTAAAGAATTAAATAAATTTGTCAAATTTAAGAACAATTATTAAACTTTTAATTTTTTTAATGCACATTCATGTTACTCAATTATAAATTCATTAGCAATTTTTTCCTTTTCTGAATTTCACAGTTAGTAAATCGAGGTTCTAGTTCAATTACCTTCTCATTATTAGGCGATTGGTGGATGTGCGTAATGAATGAAATTTTTGATTCGTTTGTTTCACCTTAAATCGCAAATAACATCTTTATCACACGCTTGGATATTCCACCTTTGAAAAGCGAGGCTACTACTTGGAAGAAAATTAACAACGGTTTTTATGACTAACACACATTCTTTAAACACATACACTCGTACATGCTACAAGAAGAAATGCCATGTACAAAATTAAAGTACAAGCATGTCATTCTTTTCATAGGTGTTCCTTAATTTTAATGGCTCATTATTTTCCTGGCGAAATTCAAAAATTTACTGTCCAAATGCAAAGAATAAGATTTTTTATGGATATTTTGGGATATTTGAAAAAGCAAAGATAATTCTGTACTCACTGGGCTAACTTAATGCATGTCTTTCATTTTTTACAGACATATATTTCATTGCGTCATTTAAAATTTACATTGCTTACGTAACGTTATTAAAATGATAAAACATAAGTATATAAAACATCCATTTTGTTCATATATTTCTTCTTGTATGAATTATAATTACTTATTATATCTATTTACATCAAGTACTTATTCCATGTGTAATTGTTTCACTTTTTTGTATTTTAAAAACGCAATACTGTACAATTGAGAACTTTGCGCATGCGCTATAAATATTTCGAATTTTTTTTTATGTCAATGTTATGTGAATGACCGTGTGTCGATAAAGGTAATCTACTTATGGTAAATTTATTTACATTTAATCTTTTTAAGTTGTTTTTTAAGTAATCAGTCAAGTTCATTCATTTATTCGAAAGTATTGCAAGACTAACAGTTTTTCACATAATATATATTTTAGAGTGCATCAAAACTTTGCGTAAGTTAGGCAATTATTGTGCCATTTTATTTTGGTAGAAAATAACATAAATTTAATGAATCTTTCAAGAAAGAGAAAAAATATACTGTTTATTTACATTCACGCCAAGAAAATGTATCTAAATTCAATTGTAAATTCTACCAAATTATTAAAGTTTGCTGGTAAAATTGAATACACTCTAAATTCGCAATAAATTTCATTATTGCATAAGTTTTGCCATCCACAGTTAAAAATTCACTTACAGAAATCCATAATAGCTGGTAAAAAAATGAGTTTTACTGAGCGTAGAATTTTACAAACAATAGTAAATTTTCATGTAATCTTATAATTGTGCAAAAAAATAGTAAATCGTTTGATCCTTTAAGTTTCCTGTAAAAGTATTTTCAACTGGGTTAACAAAATGACTCACTTTGATGGTCATAATTTAGAATGAAATTGCATCTAGAGTGAGAATGGTAGAAACGCAGAATAAGAACATTTAATGCAAATTATCTGAAATCTGTCCATATGCTTATTTTCAAATATTGTTGTTACTTTTTATATAAAGTAGCTTATATTACTTTAATGATAATTTTCTCTACAGGATCTTAAAAAATAGTTAATAATTTCACACAAATAAACCGAGGAGTAGCGACAATTAGAGATTTATAGAAAGAAGATTTTTTTCGGTAAATCTAAAAGAAATAACATAATTATATTTAACATCGGTTATCAATCTGTTGACTAAGATCCTGCAGAAAATTATCATTAAATACTTAAACTTTGTACTTCCATCTACCTATAAGAAACTAAATCAAATCTTGCTCACATGTACACATAGAATATGAAAAGATTAAGTACAAAAAAAGTGTGAAATATAAAAATTGTCGAAAGATGAAAACAAATCCAAATGCCAGCGCAACGACATTTTGACATTTTTAAGTCATTTGATAAATCAACAACTTTTATTAATTACTTACTGAATAATCTCATTTACAACTTTTTCAAGTCTAACTCTGTCAAATTTTGCGACACACTGAAGGAAACTATTCAAGATTAGTGAAAATAATTTTTTTGTTTAACATAAAAAAATTGTATAAAATAAAATTGTAAAATAAAAACCATTCCATACTTAAGATTGTCCTAGTGGCCGTTTTCATAATAAATCCTGCACAGTAAATAATCGTTTTAATCATACAAAATATATGTATTCAAGTTACCCAGTTCGAAACAGTAAAACTTGAAGTTTTTTACTATAACAACTCAAGTGTATTATACAAAAATTCAAAATTTACAATAAAAAAGAACATTCTACAACAAAATATCGTAAAAGATTAAAGAGCATAAGACTTGTAGAAGTAGAAACAAGAGTTACTCACTAAATAACAAGGGTCGACCGATCATATTTTTAAGTTTACTAAACTTTTCTTCTCTCCGAAAATACAGAATTTTGACTTACATTAAATTATAATAAAGAATTTACATTTAAAAAATATAGTTGAAATTTGGCGCTGTAATTTAGTTTTAAATCAATATTACTGTCAATAACCAAATTTACAATTTTTCTTCAAAATAAAGATTAAAAAAATTAATACAAAACAGAAACCTTCAGAGTACATAAAACAAAATTGCTCTCATAAAGCTATAATACCATAGATAAGTAGAATCCGAAAAGTATTTTGCCAATTTAATTGATACTTTTTGCAATGCAGGTAACTGTTAATAATATATAATAATTATTATAATAATAAAATAATAATACTATTTTAACATATTTTAAGCTACATAAGAAATTTCTGTGTTTTCTAACTAAACACTTTGAAAATAATCACTCAGACATGACTCAGATACAATTATCATTCGAATAGCACAATATTTTGACATAAGTTATAAATACAGAACGTTTAAAAATTTGAAATGAATTTTTTTTCAAAAATTTAAGTTTGATGGAAACTTGTTATTTTCAGTACATATAAAAAATTAGTAGAAAAAACCTTCAATTTTCCCGGCACTAGTTTCTTTTATTTTTATTTACTTTTTGTTATATTCGTTTTGTTTCGTTTTATTCATCGGCATTATTTATAACTTGTTTTGAAAAACTTGCAACATACTTACATATTTTTTAAGATAAACTTACTGTTAACTTTAATTTAAATATTGTGCTATAAAAAACAAAGTAAGTCGTTTTCTCATAGATGGACAAATGTTTGTGTTAAATAAAGTTGCTCTTTTATTGAAACGCATCAGTAACTGTTCAACATTAAATATTGTAAAGAATAGAAAATTATCTAAGCCTTCATTGCCTAGGGATGTCGATATTCACAAGCGACTTCTGAATCGCGAAGAGATCAGTGACATGTAGCCATCTCTATGCACAGTTTAGATAAGAGTAATAATTCTGAAATAATTTCTGAAAGGGCAGAAACTTATCAATAGGGAGTTTGCATCAAAAAAATTTCAAGTTTTTTTTTAAGAAATAGTAAATATAGATATTTTAAAATATATTAGCGTTGAAAGTTTTTAATTTTTTTTAAGTTTACACATTAAAAAATTAAATTGAAATTGTAAAATTTTTGAAAATATCCATGCTGAAAGAAAACAATTTTTATTGGTTACTGAAACGTGACGTCACGGGTGCTTATTCTCGCGCGTCTTCTGCTGCATGATCCATGCATGATCTTTGTTTACGATTGTTTTAAAATTATTTTATTTTATTTAAAGTGAAAATAAATGATTTCTATACTTCAGTATGATACAGTCCTATCTTCTGGTAATATTTAGAACAATCCTACCTTCAGGTGATGCTTTGTATCGTGCTGTCAAAAAGTAGGGTTAATGTATTAGCTGTTTTGTATAAATGCATTTAAGTGGTTAAATTTTATTAATTCATACTAAATTTTTATATATTATAATAAAAAGTCTCTCTTAAAATATGAAAAAATAATTGTTTTGAATGTAATAATTATTTTTAGTACCGTAATTTATTTTTTTTATTGACACCACAATCTGTCAAATTTTGAGATAGCACGGTAGAAAACGTCACCTCGAGATGAGACAGTTTTAAGTATTACCAGAAGATAGGACTGTATCACACTGAGGTATCGATTTATTTTTTTATCAAAAAATCCCTTGTATATTAGACCCGGGATTTGAAAAAGCAGATCCATCGAATTTGCCTAAAATATCGATTTATTATTTTATTTTTAGGTTATGTTGACTACTCAATTTTACATTATATACAATAATATTAGAAATTTTTATTTACTCTTGCATATCTCAAAATATAATTTATAACTAGTGTAATTTAAAATTCTTGCAATGTAATTATATAAATTAAAATGATCTTGACAGCAGAAAAATTTGGTTTACAACGACATAAAACACGTCTTATATCTTTTGTTTTTCTTCATAGTATAAAAATATTGAGAAAAAATTAATGTTTTACATGAAGAATTCATGGCAACATAGACAACTATAAGTACCTCTGACGTCACAGTCCCTTCGGTAGAACTCGGTTATTTCCGGACCGTTTTCGTTATTTTCAAATTATGCAAACTGTTTTTATTTATTTATACGCTTATTTTTCATTAAAAAATTATTAGAAAAAAAATTTGTTATATAAATCAGACCTAATCTATCGATTTAAATAAAAAAATTTTTTGATGAAAACTCCCTATTGAGTGTTGTAATGACAAATGATGAGGATAGATGAAAGTATTAATAAATTTTTAATTTTACAGATGGAATACGTGCTCCCAAGAAAGGTACCTAAGAAAGAAAAAAATTTTAGGTTACGTTTCTAATTATTCATATAAATCAAAAGAAGTTTTCATTGAATACTTTGGAAGTAATTTGGACATCAAAAATTGATAATAGTAATTGATTCTCTTCCTGTATTTTAAGTCGAAAAATTATAAACACAGCCTAAATTTCTTTGCTTCTTAGGTACCCTTCTTGGGAGCGCGTCACAAATAATCCCTAACTTATAAAGAGAGACAACAAAATTCATTATGAAAAGCGCCCAATATATCCTAAATCTGTTTATGGATTATTATTTAAACTAACTAATGATAAGTTTCTGCTTCAAAGAATCTTTCAATTATATTGAATAAGTGACAAGTTAGATGAACAACCACCAATTGGTGGTTTACTTTACTTGGATTTTTGTTACTAAAATATCAATCTCTCCAGGAATTGTTACTGATACACTTAAAAAAAGAGCAGCAGGTCGGACGTAAATAGCACCATTTCCCCAAAATCTGTGCATCATATATGTGACAATTTGTATCATAAATGTTTTTTTAAGTTACCATAACAATAGACAGATTATGTTAGCAGATAACTCTTCCCTAATAGCACCGATCATTGCACATTCATTTTTGAAACAACTTCAAAAAATAAGAATGCAATGTTGCATAAATATTTAGTGTATTAGGGTTGCTCTGCATCGATACGCATACCGAAGCAGCGGACGGTCGTCATTAGCACTAAAAATCTTTTATATGCTCTGATGCGCTAGAGGATTTAAATCAATGACCACTTAGCAAAGTTGGTATCGGAGGCTATGATCCTACGCACATGAGCGATTCGTAGTTACTACTCGTGCTGCCTATCGAAACATTGGAAATCACATGGTGTTCTTGGGCGTTGGTATTCCTGAGGATGTCATCTGCCGAGAGAGGTGTGAGTTTCCAACCTGGAATTAAGTCTAATTCCAGATCTGGACCTATATCGACATCTAAAAGCTCGTTATTATTTAGAGGATCTAGAGGCGATTGACTTGATAGAGATAAGACGCTACCCCAATTGATCGACCGACTGTCCTCACTGTCACCAATGCCCGAGTCCGCGTCGGTCTCTGTTGAAGAGATTGGAGGTACGGGAAAAGGCGTAAGCCTTCCTTGCTCAGTGCTTTGGAGTTGAGCAATTGGTGTCGAAACAACAGGTTCCATTGGAGGTGGACTTCGATCCCTCTCCATTTCTTTCTCTAAATGCCTCAAAGTATTGCAAATGAGCACAGATCGATGTAAACTTGGATCTGGGAATTGACGGTATCTCGCTAGTTTGCACATGGAAATGTTGAGGACAGCTAGCCTTCTTTGTCTGTAGCATGTTCGTCCTCTTCGACACCAACTGGACCTCGATCCTTCACAGCATCTTTCATTTGCGCGATAACTGGAGCCAAGCTCTAGATAACTCTTACCGTTTTCTTCTCGCCTAATCATTGGAGGTTCATAATTGTGGGGCTGTGCCCATTGTATTGTCGGCCTTGACAGTTGATTGTAACCATTGTTTCCAAGACCACGTTGATAGTAGTGCTGAGAATGGTGCAATTGAGCCGGGGGTGTTGGACTTGTTGACGGACAAAGTCCAGTTTGTAAACAGGGTAATGGTGAGTCCATTTCATAATACGAGGGCGTCGTCGTTTGACTCAAATGAGATGAGTAGTTTTCATCCATTGCCCACCAGCTCCCATCAACTCTGCTAAATTTTGAAGGGTTCTCACCGACATCCATATCAAATTCCATACAGACCACACCTGCTTCCAATTTACGTTTTCCTGACGTGGCCTGCAAACCCATCATTGCACAACTCTGAAACATAAAATAAGAAAATATTTAATAACGCATATTCAGTTCGTTTCCTAATTCATTATTTAATCAACATAATTCAATTTTCAGAATTTACTGTGTAGTAAGAAAAAAATTCTTTCGGTCTTAAAATAAATACTGACTAAATGTTCAAGTTAGCTGCAGTAGTAATTTCGGGATAGACTTTGGTCTTGCAAACGAATTAATATCTATGTCAAAACTAGTAAAGCTCAAGAATCTGATTTCAGAGTTAGTTAGTCCAACGTTCAGATTAACGTAGATTTGATGATGTAAACTTTTTATAACAATATAAGAAAAGATTTCTACTGTTGAGACAACTTAGTGACAGATTTTTAGTGAAAGATCGTCATACTGTTGAATGGTCTCAGAAAATAAAATTTCTTTTGTCTTTTTAAGTGTATTAACAGAAGACAATAAGATTAGAAGGACTGACTTTTAGTTGAAACGATAATACGTCGATGATATGCTGATTTTTGACGCAGCATAAAGCCTTAAGCAAATCCCATATTTTGTTATGCACATTGAGCAAAAACTTCTCTAGCTCTATCACATAAATACCACAATTATCAAATCTGATAGACTTAACAATTAGTAAAACTACTGGTGGACAAACACATTTAAGAATGTATACCTTCAGTTCGGAACAGGTTGACCCAGAAAATGCATGTTTTTCGGACAAAAGTGTTTTACAGATGGTGGAAAAATTAACTTTCTTATTTTGATACAATCAAACTGTAAACGAAAGCTCTTCTAACTCAGTCACGGATTTTTTAATACAGCTCTCATAAAATGCCCGAGTTTTCTAGAACAGCATCTTGTGGATAAGAATCTTAAAAGCACTTATATCTGCTTAGGCTTTTCTTTGACTCGTGCACTACGGGGCAGTCATATCGTTTTAAGTATTCCATTTAGCGATATCCAATATAAAATCAGTTATTTTATTTTTACTTTGACTTCTACCCCTTAATAAGTAAAATCTCCAGAAATCTGGCAATCCTCTCATAATCCTCTCATAATCTGATGACTCAATTCGACATCACTTTTAATCTGAAAAATATTCTAATAGCTATTAAAGTCCATTTTAGAATATAAAACTTCTATCATTCAAGAAATTAAAATACTGCACGATGATAACCAACGAGTAAAACTAGGTGAAGTTAATTCATGTGGATTTCGAGACATGTTGGAATTCAAGAAAAGGAGCAGCAGTCTCCGTTTAGTGGAAGATTTCTTATAAGGACTCTGGATTTGAAAATACATACAGATTTGAATCACCTTCTTTTAGATAACCAACTCTATTCAAAGGGTTGAAGTTGATTTTCGTGTTTCTTATCAAATGAAATTTCGCCAACAAATGATCCGATAATTAATTTTAAGAAAATTAGCCTTCTTTGCAAAAAATGTGGCTGTTTTGGAAATTCAAAAACATTTAAAATGAACAAAACCGTTATTTAATACAGTAGCTTAACAATGTTACTTAACAATGTCTTTACACGGAGAGAAAAAAAAAGTTGTAACTGCTTTCTTTTGAGTCGTCATGCTAATTTTATGAAGTCAAGTAGTTATGACTAGTTTTGATTTGGCTCTCCAGTAGCGTCTACAGTTTTTCTCAGTCAATTTACTACTAATACACTACTTGAGGGAGCCAAGCCAAAACTGCCTGGCGGTCAAATTGTGCTTACTTGGGTATCAGAGGTTATGTTAACGCTTGTGTCTGTCAAGTAGTTTTAACCGGGGTCTCCGGTTGGTATAACCTAAATTTTTTCTCCGTGTATACTTTTTCATCATTTGGTTAAAGCTTGTTTCCTCTTTCTTAATATTTCCACTAATTATACTTGAAATCTCAGGGTATTTTTCGACCTATGGGTCGAAGGCCTGATTTTCTCAGCCATAGATTAGTACATATGATTAGTTTAAACCCTTACGAATGCAAGGTTTGCATTTTATGATTGTTAAACCATTTAATCGTTGAAAACATCGCAACTTTTCTTACGTGTGACAAAAATTATAAGTGTAAAACGTCTATAAATCATATAATTTTCGTACAACGATAAGTGTTTCTCTAAAGAAGCGATTCTTAAAAGTAAATGCTTTAGAGTTGATCAACTCTTATCATTTTTATCATGTTTCTATGGGAAATAAAATTATAGATAAGATTTTTGTTTACAATAAAAATGCAATTTGGTTATCTTACCCATGCACAATCCTTTAACAGCAATTTAACTTTTGTTCCAATCATACAGTTTTGTGGAACTTCAATATGCAATGGTTGAAATACCAATAGCGTATGCTAGGTCCCTAGTTACACAGTTTGGCAGAATTATTCATAATTATGCCTGTTGTATTCGGTTATTTCTTTTAATGAAGATCTTAGCACACCAAAGTACGTAGGCTATTAAAGAGAGAGGAGTCTCCTTTGTTATCGTTCTTAACATCATCATACAGTATGTGTGGAACCAGTTTAAACTTGGATAGAATTGTAAAGAGAAGCACGCTCTTAAGTTTGTCAAAAGTGCTTAAAGTTGCACAAAATTCTCCATCTAGTGACGATAGTGCATAGGTATGGCACGGCTTCTATATTACTGTAAACAATAAATAAATATTTATTCACAAATTTCATAGGTTTTCCGCAACTCTCTAAATAATCAATGGATTTCAAAGAGTCTTTAGATTTTTATGAAAATTGGTTTCAACTAAGAAATTTCTGTAACAACTTCACTAAAATAGTATTGAAAGCAATTTGCATAGACATACAGCAATAATTTTTATTTTTCATACTGTTTATTATTTCTTTAATATATTTTAATTCAAAAACTTTTATGTCCAATAATAATTATATTACTAATTAGCTTTAATTAGTAGATGTAATAATATCATTTTGATGTCTACTTGGAAAATATTAAAATCAAATATCGAAACAATATTTTCCTTAAGTATAGTAATAGTAAACACGATTTTTTAGTTATGTATAATCAAGCAGAGAATCGGGTTACTTAAAATTAGATTCAGTGATTTCTCTCAGAGTTTGTAATCGTTGAAAATTTTCGAGTCCATAAAACTTACAAGTCATTCGTCTATTTTCAGGGACGTATTATTTTCAAAATTTCTCTCAAAGAAAGACAAATTATATGAATCAATCTATGAAAAATTGCTTAGCACTAGAGTCTGCATGCTGGAATACGAACGACTGTCAAAGCTGAGATCAATTGGCTAATTAATATTTTTCGGAAATTTTTATTCTAATTTTATATTAGTATTAACAAAATAATTGTCTGAGATTTTCTAAATTGTTATTTTACAGAAATTTTCTATGAGAAAGATGGAAAGCTTACTTCAATCTCAGCATGGAAATTGGATAGAGATATAAGTCTGTCATTTTCTGACTCATACTTGCATTCCCATTTGCGTCCGCAACTCTGTTCTGCTTCGGCCTTAAAACCGAATGAAAATGGCATCAGTGTTTGCCCAAGGGTAAAAATGACGTTACTTTCCATGTGTTATTTACTCAGTAAAAAATGAGACGTCATTTTCGTACGAAGAAGAAATGAATAGCTTTAGATTTTGTCAACAGATGTCTAAAATCTCTACATTTGTGCCTTTGGAATATAGTTTGTAATACATTTTCTCTTAGCTCTTCAGGGTGTTTTGATCTTTTTTATAGGTTGACAGAATACGGATCAGAAAGAAGTAAATTTTCCCGATTGTATTTTGGGTACTTTGGTACACTTTTCCACTGTTTATTTGTGTTGTTGAACAGATCATTCCAATTTTATTTCTTCCTAAGATATAAGTTAAAATAATTTCGTTCTTCTATTGTGAAATTAATGTACTTGGTGTACTGCAAGTTTGATCGAAGTTACATTGTTGTTCATTTCTTATTGTAAAAAAATCCCAGAAAAACTAATTTTTATATATGTACTTGAAAGTAACTTTTCACAGTATGTAGTTTCATTTTTTAGTTATATCATTGTCAAATATAGTTTTGTTTTAAAAAAATAGTATAAAATTGATTAAAAAATAGGTAAATATTCGAAATTACGACTGAGGCGTATTGGATCCGTTTGGCCAGGGCGTGGTAGCGAGCCAATAAGAGAAAAACCATGAGAAAACATTTTTAATTTTAATAAACTTATTTTCATATTGAAGGGTGTGAATTTATCATTCGGTGATTAAATATTAAATTTTAAAGAAGTCAACAATTTTCCCGAATCAATCTACACAAATAAATTAAATATCTTAAATAAATCTCGATAAGCTCATGGGCTTCAATGTATCGACAGCACAGCTGCCCTAATACAGAAACCTGCTTAATTTGAAAAATATTTTCGAAATTAATTAATAATTTCAAAATTATCAAAGAACTCAGAAAAAAACGGTATCATGGTGGGATACAGCATGGTGTGATTCAAATTAAGCAGGTTTCTGTATTAGGGCAGCTGTGCTGTCGATACATTGAAGCCCATGAGCTTATCGAGATTTATTTAAAATATTTAATTTATTTGTGTAGATTGATTCGGGAAAATTGTTAACTTCTTCAAATTTAATATTTAATCACCGAATGATAAATTCACTTCCTTCAATTATAATTGCCTATGAATTGTAAAATTAGGCTTACCATCTTTAAGAACCTTCCTACGTTATCATTAAATAATGTAGGAAGGGATAGTATATTTCAAGGAACTCGGAGAGTCTCGGGGTGCATGTAGCTCAGTGGTCAGAGCAGTCTACCGGCAATAGAAAGGTCGTGGGCTCGTATCCCACCATGCTACCGTTTTTTCTGAGTTCTTTGATAATTTTGAAATTATTAATTAATTTCGAAAATATTTTTCAAATTAAGCAGGTTTCTGTATTAGAGCAGCTGTGCTGTCGATACATTAAAGCCCATGAGCTTATCGAGATTTATTTAAGATATTTAATTTATTTGTGTAGATTGATTCGGGAAAATTGTTAACTTCTTTAAAATTTAATTATTTTCATATTCTTACTAATTTTTTTATATAAAAAGCAACCTAAGATAACCATTTAAAGAAAGAATAACCTAAAAATAAATTTTTAAAAAATCTTTTATTTAGCTACAATTTTACAATTTCTCAAAAATTTTAATTTAATATCGTTGGTTTTGAATATTTCTTATTATAAATTTACTATTCAAACTTTAATTAACAGTATATAACAATGTTTGAACTTATAAATAATAATTTCACACCATGACCCAATACGCCGAGGCCCGGGGCGAATTGCATCACCTCCCAGTAAAAAAAAACTAATTCAAATGAATTGAAACGAATTAACATTTTTGGTAGGCTCCAATTCGTATTTGTCACAAAGCGGGATTCACTCAAGCTCTTTGTATATTCAATTGAATTTAATTCAATATGTACCAATTTGTCCAAACGAATTCGCATTCGAAAGAAATGGCCAAGGAATGCATTGAATTCGTGCTAACGAATTGAAAAAAAATTAAAGGCTCAAAACTTGTCCAGTGAATTGGTACGGATAGAAGGTTCGGAATTTCAATACAGTTTCACGAATTCAGGAAAATTGCATCATGGCTCCAATTCGTATTTGTCACAAAGCGGGATTCACGAAAGCTCTTTGTGAATTCTTCTTAATTCATTTCAATTAGTTTTCGTTTACTGGGCTTGAACTGTCTCCAAAAAACTTTTGTAGTAAAAAGTACGAATGATATTCATATGTTCATTTTTTTTTAAGAAAAGCTGAGATTTTAGAATAAGATTTCTGTGTAGTGAACTTTTATGTAATGTGAAAATAATGTAGTTATTATATAAAAAAACAGCGCAAAGTGATCCATTACGCCCCGGTCTCCCCTACTTATCTGTCAAGGAGTAGGATACAAAGGAATTACTTTCTCAAAACAATTCCCTATTTTATATTGATCTTCCCTCTTAAAATCTTCATTGATAAAAAAGAGATCAGCAACAGACTTATTAAGGACGAATCAGAGAAACAATTGGAGCAAAAGCTCCAATACCAATACTCCAGTTCCAATATTTCGTTTTTTAAATGAAAAAAGGCAAATTAAATTTTAAACTCTTCTTCGTGAAAGAGTAAAAATTATCATTTTTAGCATATTTAAAAATTAAGTCACATTTGAATAAAAATTACAATTCTTTATTTTGTCAATAAGAAAGAATGTAGGTAACACTCATCTAAAATTTGACAAACCCCAGTAAAAAAAAACTAATTCAAATGAATTGAAACGAATTAACATTTTTGGTAGGCTCCAATTCGTATTTGTCACAAAGCGGGATTCACTCAAGCTCTTTGTATATTCAATTGAATTTAATTCAATATGTACCAATTTGTCCAAACGAATTCGCATTCGAAAGAAATGGCCAAGGAATGCATTGAATTCGTGCTAACGAATTGAAAAAAATTAAAGGCTCAAAACTTGTCCAGTGAATTGGTACGGATAGAAGGTTCGGAAGTTCAATACAGTTTCACGAATTCAGGAAAATTGCATCATGGCTCCAATTCGTATTTGTCACAAAGCGGGATTCACGAAAGCTCTTTGTGAATTCTTTTTAATTCATTTCAATTAGTTTTCGTTTACTGGGACGTTTCTTAACGTCGATGATTACGAATCCGGTGCTTGTTTTAAAAAATTAAAAAATTCAAGTTTCAGGTAAATCTGAACGATTTTTAACAATTCATCCGCCATATTGGATCCGCCATTTTGAATTCTTTAGAACCAACACGGTATTCGTAATCAACGACCCCAAGAACCTCCGATTTACAAGCTTTAGGTGAATCTAGACTATTTTCAAAAAAATTCGTTGGGTATATTGGATCCGAAACTAAAAAAGTTTTAAAATCCAACACTGGATTCTTAATAAGTGGCTCCAAAAATCCCCAAGTATATAAAGTTTCTGGCAAATTTGTTATATAGCTCAATCCAATGAAAAGCAAGGGTCAGTTAATGAACAATTCAAATTGGTTGAGAACTCCTAAAGATTCTGTAACACATTCTGATTATTTAAAATCCTTCAAATTTCCTAAAAATGGAACATTGTTGAAGTCAAAAAATAAAATGATGAAAAGCGTTAGTTTTCATTAAAAGAATTACAGCTTTTCGAGTAGACTTTCTTCACAAAATTTTCTAGATTCTAGGAAGTACAAAAGTTTTAAATAAAAAGAATGAATAAAATTCTTTTAGTCCACGAACTTCTGCAAAATTTTTGCCCAAGTGTAAATGCTGCAGAAAAAGTACTAAGCAAATGATTAAACTTTGAAGTTTACAATGTAAATTTTACTCAAATTGCATAACAAAATCCCCACGAAGCGGACATCTATTTACAATAAGTTTGCTTTAAGCTTGAAGTGCAAACTTGTAACAAAATATTATGTTATCTGAGATAATCAGTCAAGATTGAAAAATTTCTTTTCATTTGATTAATATATAATTAATTTAATTGATTGCTATATATATTTTTTTATCTCTATTATATTCATGGATAAAAATTCTTAATTAATATTTTACACAATTTTTATTGAATGACTACTTTACTAAAAAATAGTAAACAACATTCAACTTTAAAATGAGAATCTTAATCTCGAAAGTTTATGTAAATATTGAGATAAAGTGAATAAAATCTGAATTTGACATTAAATTTGGGTCTTATCTTCATCTTTGAAATGTGTGGTCAAAAATGATTTTACTTGCAGTACATACATCATAAATCAATTAAATTATTTATATTCATTGTCGACGAGATTATAGGTTGCGAAGAAGAACCACAACGACGACGACGATGTCGACTAGTTCGCAGACTGAATTGTTATTTTTAACTTGATGTTGACGCGCCGTTCGAAGTCTAAAGTAAAATTGTATTCGCTGGCAGTGCTGGCAATCGCAAAGTCCCTTCCTCTATTCCCTTCTACTTAAACTCAACCTTAGAACATGATCCATCATGCTCTTGCAATTAGAAGCGACCAGGACTACCAAAACTTATCATGTTTTCAAGAATGTAAAACTCCTTCCCAATTTAATAACTATTTTCGTAGCGAAGAGACTATTTATTTCATAATTTTAAACTATTTTAAGGCATACATTACAGCTATTTTAGAAGTAATTTTTCAAAACCTAATTGATTATAAAATTTTTAAAAATCCAACGTCCCAAAAACATTCAAATTTAGAAGTTTATCAGTTTCATAATTAAAATTATTTTCTAAACATGATTTAAAAGTAATGCAATAAATAACTTTAACTACAGCTCTAGAGGAGGAATAAAGTCAGCGTAGGCAGAGGGTTCAAACATACATTAATTAATAAAAATTTTATAGTTATGAATGTGATTCAACTTACATATTTTTTAAATGAAGAAAAGTGTCAGAATTAAGAAGTCTTGATATTTCTTTTTTTTGGAACTGACCTGAAACAGTAATAAAAACACTTTTATATAGCGACAGTTTTATAAACATAAATTTTTAAAAACATTTCATATCTAATAGATTTTTATAAATTTATATAAATTTCATATTCGACATTTTCTTATTAATCTTTTTTAATTTCAATATATAATATATATTTGTTTGCGAATTTTTGTTTCAAAATTTCATATAATTAATTTCAAACTTTAATATGGTTCATTTGAAAATGGGAAAAACGATTTTCCCCTGTTTGAAATGATCATATTAAATTTTGAAACACAAAGTCTTTCAGTGTAACATCTTAATGTCACAAAGTTTACATTCTAAATTATTTATTAATTATGTACCGATTTTTCAAAAATTCTGAAATCTTTTAATACATTTATCAACATGTCCAAACATCATTATATCCTTGAAAAGGAATGTTAAAAAGTGGAGACTAGTTGGTGGTATCGCTTCTGCGCTTCTGTTGGACAAATACTGTACTAAAATCTTTCATCTCACAAGATAAGACAAATTTTGAATTTTTCGACCATAATTTTGCAACTTAAATTATTTATAATTTTTTTTTTAAACATTAATAGATTTTATAAATCCTAGTTGACATAAGAACTACACATTCAAGGAACATGCTGTACAAAATTCAACTAAATTCATTAAATATTGTTAAAATAAAAGTGTGACAAACTTTCAGAAAGGACCACTTCCGGCAACCATTTTCTAAGACTTCATTTTGAAAAAAATAAACATTAAAACACAATCAAATTTACTTAAAAGTTGTCACTCGGGGAGTTTTGCAGACGCTGATTACAAATCCAAAGTCAAATTTTCATATAATTTAAATATTAATGTTGGATCCAATACGACAAAAGATAATATTAAAAATCAATCAAATTCAATTAAAAATTGTCATTTTGAGGTTTTCGGGGTAGATCCTTAATTTGAAAATCAAAAATCATATTTGTAATAAGCGACCCCAAAATTTTTGTCTGCCATATTGGATCTGCCATTTTGAATTTGCATATCTGATTTCAGATTCGTAATTAGCGTTGTTTTGTATAAATTTGTTAATAAAAAATATCAAATATTATTTATTATTAGGATTTGTTTATTCATGTCCTTTATTTTTAATTACTACTCCATAAAAAAATAATATTTGCAGTGAAACTTGCACTAAAATCTTTTTCAATCTTCAGTCAACTTTCGCTTTAAATTTTTTGTCATATGTGGCCATTTTAATAAGTACAAAATGTTTCATTAGCTTCGCAAATAAATATTTTTAGAGAGTTACATATAATATGCGCTGCTAGCGCCAGAGCAAAATTGTGGCGGTTTACCTGTAATCAGTACAACGCCACAAGTAAACATAAATAATAATAAACATTCACAATAATCGGAGTAGATTTTATCAAAAATTTTATTTCGTCAAATAAATAGGTATGGACTATAATAATTTTGTTTGTGAAATATGTTTGTAAGAATCTGTGAGACGAAAAATATTCAATAAAAATAATTTTCTCGCATAAAATACAAGAAATTCTTCATCACCTCATACAAGTTTCTCACTATACGTATTATACATTGTATGCTTGAATATGCAATCAACTTTTCACTAAAAATTAATTTTAAATTGTATAAAGTATATTTCAAAATATTTCTTTGAGTTCAACTTTTATATAATTAAAAAAATAATTTTTTTCCTATTCTGTTCTTATTTCTTGCAACATTGCAAAATAGTATTGCTACTAAGCATACTTTTTTTAGCATTAGCCTTCTATTAATTTTTATATATTTTCTGAAAATAATCTAATGGATTTTGTACTAAAATAAAGTTTGGTAACGTTATTATTAAAAAGAATATGAAACTAAAAAAATTAAAAATAATGAAGTAAATAAAAATTGTAGCTACAAAGTTGAAAGAGAGAGAAAAAGAGAGACAGGGCGAAAGAAGGGGACAGCGAATAGCAGAAGGCCTCGAAATGTGGCAACAGAGCGTCGAATGTCGATGTATTGTAGACTCGGTTCCGTGCTGATACCCACGCTCTCTGGCGATTTTGCCTCTTGAATCTGTACAACGATGTTCAACCACTTTCAATGTGGTACATTCCATTCACCAGTTGAAAACCCGTTGCCATAAAGGTAACAAATACCTCTGGATACTTTCTTCTTATAAAAATAAGGATCTACTATTATTTATTACAAAAGAAAATTAACGCCGTATTTAAAAATTATTAAATAATATTTTTTTAAAATATTAGTTTTGGCTTCTTCTTGCAAATAATCGAAAAGGAAAACAATTTTCATTTCGCCAATATCAATGCAAAGATACAAATTAATTTAATTATTTAATCTGAATTGTTGCATATATGTAGGAATATTGTAAGTACGAAAAAAAATATTTCTGAGAAAGTTAAAATTTGAAAGAATAATTCCTAGTGAAAATTCGAAAGGTTTCTTAGGATGTAAAACCGTACTGTTTCTTCAGTGTTAACTGCGACAACTTTCTAGTTTGACATGAGGCGCTAGCGCTAGGTTGAAAGTAGCGGTAGCAATATAGCATTGGCTATAAAAGAAAAAGAGAAGAAACTTCCAATGTATGGTTGTTTCTGTTCCTGTTAACTTCTCTCCCTTTCACGTTTACCTCTCCCCACTACGCCGTCTCTCCCCCTCTCTAAGAGTACAGACTTGTGAAGGAAAACAGGTTCCAGGATAATAGAGAAACTGCGTTTTACAAACAACACTGCTGAAAACGAATGCCTAAACAACATTACGCTGAGACAAAAATACAATAAACTTATAATATAAATAAACAATCTTATTTTCTCATATTCTAATATTTTAATCCATTAATTTTAAACTTGTAATAAAAAATTTTAATTCATTATTTACTTTAATCTATAAAAAAACAGGCGTCAAACTTGTATTAAGAAAAACTTTTATCAAATGATATTGCACTCAAAAACAATTCTGCTTAAAGTTACTAGATGCGTCTGGTTAAAATATTTCTAGTGAAAATAACTAGAAATTTATGGTTAATAAGACTAGAAAACTCTGGTTAACCCACAAAGCGTTTATCCCGTGGTCTTTTTTTAAACAAAATTTTTGGTAAAATCAATGTGAATACACTGTTGTGAAAAATACCCAGAAATTTTTTTACTAGAAAAATTCTCGTTAAATTTACTAGCAATTTCTAACCAGAATTTCAAATACTTTTAGAACTTTTTTCTAAAACGTTTCTTTTTTTAGTTGAGCTAGATTACTTCTTGAGTGTGATTTTTAATTTTTATAAAAATTAAAAATAATACAATGTTAAATATGTGAATTTTTATACCTGAGTACACATACATTTCCATATCATTCACAGTATAAACCGTTAGGATATACATAAAAAGCTTCCATGTAGAAAATTTCCTAGTTCAGCAAATTTTTTAAGTGTGACTGGTAGACAGTGTAAATTTTTTTTAAAAGCTGCCGCCAACCCCCTAATTTTGTTCAGGGCGCATGAATAAGCACTAAAATGTATTACAGAATTTTTATTTGACGGATATCAGAGATCTTAAAAATCAAACAAATTCTTTTAATTAAAGTTAAAAGAAGTTTTTTGGGAATGGAATTTGATTTGTCATAAAGTAACACATGATAAATGTGTAAGGCCGCAGTCCCATGGCAGCGTTTTGCGTTGCGTTGTAATGAGAGAGAATGCAGCAAACGTATATTTGCGTCTTTTTTTCTCCCATTACGACGCAACGCAAAACGCTGTCATGGGACTCCACCCTAAGATTTGAGAAGATTAGAACTTACTGCGCAGCCTCATGAGTCATTGAAACAAAGATATAACATTGCGCATCTAATAAGTTAATATTACATTGTAATATTCTCTCAAGTTTTGTCTTGAAAATTCTCTCACATACAGACATTTCCCCAATTATAGCAACATTCACTCAGCTTACAGGTTTGGGGTTACGAAACTTACAGTGTTATTCTCTGGGAATACTCTGGTGCTGTGTGAGTTAATGCCAGAATTTCTTTATCACCAGATTTTCATTTAAAAGAATTTTTCTTTTTCATAATTTTATAGAATAATTCTTGAGATGTCGAGATTTCATTTGATCGATATTACAATTTGCCAAATAAATAATCTATTAGCCACAGTTCTAGTTATTTTTGAAATTCGCGCCAATATCTTTCACCGAGTTGTTTGTTTGGCTATTTATATAATTTTGATCAAATAGAATTTTAATTTTATCGTCTTAAAAATTCTATGAATTGTCAACTTTCTTTAGTCCCCTATAAAAATATGATGAGAATTTCCATAGAATAATATTGAAAAAAAAGAATGTAAAAATTATATCATCACCATAAAACATAATTAGGGGTAAGCGTTATAAAAACTTTTTTTGAACCACCTTAAAATGGCAGATCTAATATGACTGCCGAAAATTTGAAATTTAGTCGTATTTGCTTGTCACTCGGAAGATTTTGGATTCTTAGAAAAATACTATGTTTTGTCTAATAACAAATAACTTTATAAAGAAAGAGTAAATATAGGCATTATTTCTATATCATAAACATATTCATGTTAAATAATATATACTTTACAAGACACATTCTGGATGACAAATAACTTCATTGTCGTAAGTTTCTGTCTGTTTTGAGTCTTTTTGAATAACTTTTACATGTCTTTTGGTCATTTTTGGCCCAGAAATTGTATACGCATGAAAGACGTCTTTTAGTTGTCCTTATAACGTTTCTGAGACATTCATTCTTCGGTGGTTTATAATATCTACCCCTTGTTGCCGCATATTACACTCGTATTACGAATTTTTTTTGCATTCGCTGTATTTAACTTATTATAGTTCTGTAACTGACATTGTCTTAAACCTGAGTATCTGATTCATGATAATTTTCTTCTCCTGCACTGAGAGACCTTTAGTTCTGTAACAAACTTTCTATAAACTGCTGCTGAGCATTTTGGCGGTAAGCTAGAAAAATATACCTTTGGACTGTGGCGGAAAAAATTTTGGTGTCTGACTGACAAAAAATTAGTGAACTGCATAACAACAGTAGAAGGCCAGTAGCTTTTGGACAGTCACACGGCAAAAATTTGGAACGTAGCGAACCAAAACTAGTAGTAACATTCTTGTCCAACACGAATTTCTACAGCAGACCAAAAAGTCTCTCCATGTGAAGATAGACTATGCAATAATATTGATTTTATGTTAAATAATTTTTCATGTACTATTTTTAGTACGATTAAATTTATTAATAAGTCAAAAATAAAAAAAAAATTAGTATTATAAAGAAAATAACTAAGTTTAAGAAATGAAAATGTGATAAATGCAGTAAACAAAACAAGTTTTGTAAAAATACTTACATAGTAGGAGAAGGTAATGTTAAATGAGAAAATCTCAGTAGCCACAGCATATAGAGATCAACATGTATCAGACATTATTGTTCCTTTTAAATAACAAGTTGCACAGGAACCTGAAACAAACAAAAATAATTTATTAATTATTACAATTAATTAAAATCAACGTAATTGCTTAAGCTAATTGCAATTCTTATCCCTTTACTTAAATACCCTTTACTTAAAGATGGACTTTGGTTTCCATCTCGTCTTTCATATATTGGATGTGTTTCTATTAAAACACGCTCATTAAAAATTGTACTATTTATTTCCTCATTCCCATCCATATATTTGACCATTATTCCAACATCCATCTCTACTTTTAAATCTGTTCACACACCATCCACACTACCCCATTTACCACACAATATATTGGTGATTTATTCCTTTTTCCACCCTTGAACTCATATTCTTTCACCCACAGCAATTACTTCTATTTTGAAAACTATCTTGACAACAATCTTTTCTCACCTGAAATCCTTCTCAATATTCATCCTAACATATTTTCTATTCCTTCTTTTAAACTTTTCTATACCTTCCATTATCTGAATTAACTATTTTCCTTCTGCCTTCTCCAACTTATCTCCAAATTTTTTTCTTCTCTTTTCTTATACACTATAAAAATCTTCTTTTTTGAAACTACCTTAGTCTACCTTGCTTTTTTACGCATGTTCCTAACCTTCTTCAATTTCTCACTTAGCTCTTTTGTTTCTCTGAACCAACGATGTTGCTTTCGATAATTATTCCATTCTTATGGAACCTCGATTATTCGAACCTCTGTTATCCGAACCCTCTATTATCCGAACCAAAAATCATTTTATCCGAACTTCTATTATCCGAACTTTTTTTGGCCTCCCGAATATTTCAAAGGAAAATAACGAAATTTATGCCAGAAAAATCTTTAAAAATTCTGGATTCTATGTTTTATTAATATATTATTATGAATTAATATATATTTACGTATATATATATACTTATGTATATTTAAAAAATGGATTAAATGAAATATATATAATTCAACTGTCGATTTTTTTACTTTAATTATATAAAAAAAATTTAAATCTCTATTATCCGAACTTTCGATTATTCGAACCCGGCCTTGCCTAGGTTAGTTCTGATAATAATCGAGGTTCCACTGTATATTTGCCTTTGTCCCAATAATTATCCACATTCTTTCCCCATTTCCCTTATTCTATAACAATCCTGACTCCATACTTCTAATCACGGTATTTCTCTTTCTCTCGGTACCTCACAATCTACCTAATCACTATTCTTTCGTCCATGTCCCTAAACTTCTCAATTCGTTCACTTATTCCTCCTAGTTGCTTATTCATTTGCTATTATTCCGATTAAGGTAAATCAAATATTACACATTTTACACTATCCTCGATCTTTTACAAATCATATTTTGCACCTGTACTAAAATTGTATTAAAGCATCAATGATGCATCAGTTTATAATAATACATTACAGATTTACTTTGTTAGAGTAACTACTAACCTATACTTATCTTGTTTCTAACTACATTTACTTGTGTATCAATTTTATAAAAATTCGACTTTTTAAAAGTATAACTTATTAGGATTTAGTCAAAATCAAAAAGTACACACATAAAAATCTCTTTGGTATTATTAACTATGAACCTAGTTAATTTTAACATAGTAAAATATTTCCTTTTTTTCTAGGTTAATTCAACAAATCCGAACCTTATGAGAACGTTTGCATGCTAATGATAGTAGAAACTTAAATGGCATAATTTTAACGATTATTATTTAATTATATTAATATGTGTTTGTATTATATGTAATTATCTTTCATACTCAGTATTACTGGTACTAACATTTTTCTTTTGTATTAAATTTATCTACCACATACTGTTCCTTAAAGGACTAATTAGTCCTCAGAATTTCAGATACTTAAGTGGAAAAATAAATAATTAAAAATGAATGCTTCTTGGCAAGCAGGTATACAGTGGAACCCCGATTATCCGATATTTTTAGTCATCTTAAGACTATTCGATGATCTCTGAAATTTCTTGGTTATGTGAGATCTAGAGTTATCGCCAAACAAAAGCGGCGCACTATCGTGCGCGAGTATCGCTTTCATTGAGCAAAACTGTAGGTCGCACATAACCTACACTGAGAGAAGAAAAGCACAGAATCCGTACTGTGACAAACACCGGCCGTGTAAAATGCGTGTCAGTGCCCGTTCTTAATTTTATTCAGTTGGTGTCATTCATAGTTCAGATACTATGCTCAAGCAGCGCGGCGGCGGTACGAACTAATTAGTACAGGATCTGTTTCATAGTGACCGAGAGATACTGTACTTCTAAACAGTAGCATTTGAAGTACAACATCTGTACCTCAAGCCAAAGTCAAAATCCGTTTCACATTTTAGCACGACACCTATCACACAGTGGCAATGCTGCTGCGTTCAATTGGAGTACAGATGCTGAACTTTTCCATTTCAGAATCTGTGCTTTTCTTCTCTCAGTGTAGAAATTGAAGAGACCATACATTTATAGGTACAAAAATTTCATAAAAGTAAAGAAATTTTATTGTCGTCTAATACTTTTATCCTAGTTAATTCTACTATTTTTATAGTTAAAAGAACTATAGAATCATTTGTGAAATTGAAGGTACAATCCAAAATCAAAAAGAGAAAGCCAAAAAATCACGTTTAGTGTTTTACAAGGTCTACCAGACGACTATAATATATATTTTCTGTTTCAACTTTCAATATTTCTATTTTAACAAAAGGTAATAGCTCCAGTCGTCACTGCCTTTCTTATCGTCCATTTAGACAAAAATAAACATATTTTTATAAAATATGATAAGCTACTGAAGAGCTCAAGTTTCTATTGTAATTTTAAAAAAAAGTTACGAGAGAAGAAAATTTTGATGGCGGTCTGTCGGACCGCTCCAGCAGTTTAAAGGTTAACTGTGTGTGGACATTATTACTCTGACTAGGACTAGTCGGTTCCTCTCATAACTAGGAAACGTAGTTAATTCTGGTAAACAAATCCTCATTTTGCATGTACCTTACAAACACATTAATTATTTATATATTTGATCAGCTTTTACGGTTATAATGATTATTTCTGATTTTTCAAAAATTTAAAAAGCATGCTTTTATAGGCAATTTTTAATTACAAGTTTTATGTAATTTTTACTACACTGTAACCCTGTTGTAGTTTGCCTTAAAAACGCATCGATTGACCTATTTGTGAACCTCTCATCATTTAACATTGTGAAGTTATTGGCTTTTGAATTGTAGAAAATTAAGCAAATGCTTTAAACATGCTTAAATGTTTTATTAGTTTAACAATTCATATATCTATTGTCATTTTCGTGAATATGATGATAAAAATTTTCAATTTTGTTCAAAAATTGTAGTTCTGTTCATGTATGTTTTAAAATTATAAAAGCAGAGTTAGTATCTGTGGGATTTCGCTTTTGGATTTCAGCGATGTTGGAAATGTGTCTAATCCTGTTTTAATAATTTTCGTAAATCATTAATTATTAGTGAACTATGTGTGCAAAAGGGATAATGTAATTGATATTTTTGATTTTCAGAGAGGGTTAGGTGTATGCGTTAGGCAATTTTCTCTGTTTCTTCCTCCCTCTCCCTCTCTTTTTCGGAATGGTAAAAAATACTACTGTATGTGTCTTCTTCTGACTTGGTTCTATCCTCACAAACGATCAGCGGGTTGATTACACTGGCGATTCACTCTTGGCCCACGTTTCATTCCATCTTTCTCTTCTCTCTCTTTTCTCTCTCTCCAGTGTAGTTTCTTCTTTCTCTGTAGCTATCCTCTCTACCTACATCGATAACTATGTATATCTCTCTCATATCTATTGTTTTCATCTCACTGTCTTTATTCCCTCTCTCTTTTTTTCCTTTGTCCCTTTCATTTTATCATACTGTCTTTTTCTAGATGTCGAGTGAGAGGTAGAAACGGTAGGGGTTGTCATGGTAACGCCCCATGCTCGAATAATACATCGCTCTCTGTCTAAAACATTCTCTTTCTCTCCGTTAACTCTCCCACCCAACCAACCCGGTGCTGGCTGCTTACAGGATGATTCATTTTCTACGATTCCATCTTTCTTCGAAAGATGAAAAAGGGTCGTCGATCAATTGTTTTGTACCACGATTAAGAGAGTACAGTGCGAAAATTTTAATTTCTATTTCAAATTTTTAATTTAATGACTACTTTTAATTTCTTCTAGAATACGAGGGGAAAATATTTTCTACGCGCAGGATTGTTGAAAGAATTTATGCCGTTGGTATATAAATTTACTGCAAAAGTAGTACAGAAATCTGATTAAATGTAAAATTCCCATTGCGCTTTAAACACCTTTTGGGCGTACTGGAAATTTAAAAACTTACATTCTAATCTTCTAATATTTAAAAACGATCCTTAGGAAATAGAAAATAGTCGTTCCTTTGTGTTTTCAGTGAGAATATTATTATAATTCATAATGATAGTTATCTCAAAAAAATATTTTTAAACACAAGTATGTTCATGTCTGAAAAAATCTTTTCTAAAAACAGCTTGAAATCTTAAAAAATAATTTTAATTTTAACTTGTTATTAAAGTTTGTAATTAAAATATAGGTACTGAATACTTATATCGTGTTACTTGCACCATTGAATTTATTTTGCCCTAAAATCATTTTAATAATGATCGTTTTTAAACACCAAAAAACGCTTTCGGCAGCTCCCAGGCTATTGGTATAGCAGGAGTTCAAAAGGTGTGTGAGCACCATCAAGGTATCTGAGGATACAGAAATGGACGCCTTTGACGTTCACCAGGCGTGGTGTGTAAGGTCACACTTTTTAAATTTTCAGTCATCTATATATAAAGAAAAGATTTTTAAAAAAAGCCTAAACACATTCATTTCATATTTTATTTATTTTGACACACAAATACTTTTTTAATATTCGACATAAAACGCGATCCAGATTTTGATAATAAATGTGCAAAATTTGATGAACGTTGAACAGTACTCTTTGACACCAACATTATTTATAAAAATTTTAAAAACAAAATACAATTTCTCTACAACTGATCAAT